CAAGGACTCGTCCAAGCAGTCACTGCAGAGTCGGTAACGACTGAGCGCAGATTAAAAAAAAAAAAAAAAAGGTGATTCTTGGCTTTAAATGCACCCTTGGTAGAGCTGCTGGACCACCACTTTTACCTGATATTTGGGGAACTCTGAAAATTGGGGGTGACCCAATACATATATGCAGTGGGCAGAAAAGGAATGTCAGATGTCTGAGGGAGCTGGGTTAGATGTGTGTGTTGGGTGGGGGGGAGCTGTCCCACCTCCTGCCAAGTGACTATATAAGGTTATAAAGCAGAAGGAAAAACAAATGACTGGTGTGGAAGCTCACATTTGGGAGGAAGACTGGAAACTTTTTCTGATCTTGGTCTTGATGCTTGATTAGCATTTCCATTTTTTTATAAAGGAGCGTAAGCTGAAAACATTTCACATTTAACAAAGAACCCTTTGCAGATCCTTTGCTTTGCCTCCCCCACTTCTTGAGTAAAGCAATCCATATTTTCTCCTGCCCCTAAAAAGATGCCTTTTCTGGCAGCTTAAAGACAAAGAGATCTAATGGATGGAAGAATCTTTTGTGGATTAAATGGAGGCTCTAATCCACAAGAGCTCCTGGTTCCGAAATTTGCATGCTTAAAATCCCACAAGGCTGTCTCTTGTTTTTGCCAGTTTGAGAGGGGTTCTAGTCCTTAGCAATTTGTATTCTTGGATACACTTAAGTTTCCATTAAAATTATCACAGGCTGTATCTTATATCTGGAGATCTGCCTTATGTGTATAGATGGGGGTGGGGGTGGGGGGAGGAAGAGAGAGAGAGAGCTGCGAAATGAGGATGACATCAATAGGAACACAGGCCAGACTATTTCTCTAGCTCCCCTAACTTATTTATAGTATTTTGACTGGCAGCTGTCCTTCAGACAGAACCTTTTCCTATCTTCTGCTCCCTAAGCATCACTTAATTGGAGATGCCAGAAACAGAAATGCATAAAGGCAGAATTAGGAGAGTTGCACTTAATCCAGAAAATTCATGCCTATGAAAGCTTATGCCACCACGAACCTGTTCAGTTTTCAGGAAGCAGCTGGACTCTTTTTTTGTAGCACCACTAGATGGAAGCAGTTTACCACACCAAAATTCTAAACAACAAGGAGATTTTATTGCAATGAAAACTTGATTTTCCCCACTGCTGAGCTGGAGTGTTTTCCTCCCTTCTCTTAGCTGGCAGAATACTTTACTGGCATGACGTTTGCTGATGCCATTCTTGTCTCAACAGCTTCTCTTCCCTGACCTCTGTCTAAGGTAATGTCTGACAAAGCCGAACCAACCTTACAGATCTTGCAGTTGACCTTGGAGGGTCTCAGAATAAGGAGAAAAACACTGCCTTAACACCAGTCCTGCTAATAATAACTTAAACCTGCTTCACTTACAGACTGGGGATGAGATGAAGGCAACACTAAGGGAAAAAAGCAGCAGAAAAAAGATGTGGCCGGGGCACGTTTGCACCATAGTCAGATGCAAGTACGAACATGGCTCCAATTTGCCGAAGTTACAATGTTCAATGCCTTTTAATTAAAACAGCTGCAGTAATTCATATCATTAGGAATCAAAGAATGTTCAACACATAGCAACTATGTTACTATTGGTCTCCCTTTCATTCATTCATCCATTACTATCCATTATCTTACATTCATTACTATTGGTCTCCCTTTCATTCATTACATCCATCATCCATTACTATCCATTATCTTACATTCATATTTTAAAGTTACTTTAGAAGTTTGGAAAACGTCAAACTGCTTGGCTTTCTGATTCTCTCTTTCCTGAGGATAAATTTGTTCAATATAAGCTGAGATGGTAAAACATTTTTTTAGAGAGTTAAGAGATTGAATTCTGGATGGAGACCCTGTTGAGGCTGAGCATATATTTCAAAAAGATTGCTTGCAAATTCCAATTTCAAGTGAGTCAAGTACAATAATTTTTTTCATAAACTATTGATACCTCATCAGTTAAGACCATTAACAGCATCTGAAGAAGGGTGGAAAAGGTGAGCAAATAACAAGACAATAATAATTCTCTCCCCCAAATAATAATGGGTGGGTGGTCTTACCTCAAAGCTGAAAAGTACAGAAAGAAATGAACACAGAAATGGGCAGAAAATACAAAAGTCTGTAACTACAAGCCTAAAGATTAGCCCATGTTTGAGAGGGTTGTTTGCCTGATGAATGTAACCCTTTCTCTAGTGCCTAAATGGGGCTTCTCTTTCTTTTTCTTCTCTCTGTCCTCCTCCTCTTCCCTTCCCTGTGCTTAAAGCTGTTTTTAAGGTGGCAAAAATTCAGGAGACCCATGAAAGCTTGTGCCTTTTAATAACATTTGTTAGTCAGAAAAGGTGCTACCAGACTCTTTGATTTTCTTCCCAGTGCAATGAACCTTCTTCTCACCCCATCTCCATTCTGTTTTTTCTTCCTTTTTTTTTTTTTGCTGTTTCTGCTGGAATGTGGATTTTTTTTTGTTTTTCAGTGCATGACAAAAATAGCTCAACAAAGTGGCCAAAAATGATACGACTAACGATAATGGGTCATTACAAAATGATACAACTCAATATTATAAAATGATGATCATGGATCATGAATGAAATGATACGACTAATTTCTTTTTAATAACAACTTTATTAATTTTTTTAAAAGAACAGTAAAAACTAACAAAAACTAATATTAAGAAAAAGAAGAAGATGGAGAAGAAAAAGAAAAATGGGAAAAAAGAAAATAGTAAAAATCAAAAGTGCAGAAAAGAAAAGAAAAAGAAATGACAAAAGAAAAGAATTGACTTCTGACCCTCCTTGCAACAGATACAAGTAACAATATACACGAAACTCTTGCTCTAGATTTTACAACATAACTTCCATTATTTCTATTAACCCATATTATTTCT